AAAGAAGCAGGGTCATGGGGAATATCAGCTTGCAGCCCAACTCAGCCTCCTGTCTGCCAGGCTGTACTGCTTTGGAGCAATGGAAAGGAGCCCCAGAGAGGATCCTCTGAACACCAGCTCCCCCCTGCCCCTTCCCCAATGCTGCAGTGTGTCCTCTCCCAACAGCCTGGTTGAAGCTGTGGATGCTTTGGGCCAGAGTCTGAGCTGGACTTTGGTGCTTTCTCAGAGCTAAGAGAAGGGCATTGAGAGTCTGTCTTTGGACTCTGCCCAGTGCTGGTAACCTTCCAGATATTTGCTGGAGGCAGATGTGAACAATTGGAACCAGCTGCTCCAGTCTCAGTTATCTTGCTCCACTCTCGGTTATCTTCCTTTCAGTCCAAGATGTGGCACCACAGCCTGTCTTCTCTTCCCTTTGCCCATGTACCTACCCCACACAGCTGGAGAAGGCAGCAGTTCACAGATGAGCCCTACCACATATGGCTGTCTCATGGGGTTGTAGAGTGGGAGACACCCTCTGCAGCTAATGTGGGACAAGCTGGCTGGGCTGCATGGTTGAGCGTGGCAGGAGTCAGTTGCGTGTGTAGGGATTGATTCACGGACTCTGGCGCGGGTAAAACCAAAGACCTTTATTGTTTACAAGTTTGTGCTTATATAGATTCACTAGCTGTCCATGCGCTCTAGTTTGTTCATGGATTGGTTAACCCCTGCTGTCCACGCGCCGCAGCTAAGTTTTTAATTGGTGCTGTTAATCAAGACACATGTCTTCTAGTTTGGGTCTCACAGCTGTGCTTCAAAACATTTTTATCTTCAGCTCACTTTCTGCGCTTGCTTCATTACTTACTTTCTCAGACTATTTCCTTCAAGGCTATGTTGTTCAAGGTCGCTTGCAACACTCCCTGTGAATCCCACATGCGTGACTTCAGTACAAGGTATCACCATGAGCGGCTGCGAATGGAGCCATGGCCCATTACAACCCAACCCCCCAGTTCCTCTGGAGCTTCTGGGAAGCCACAGCCACCCATAACCTGGGTGTGCTTCAAGTGACTGTCATTGCAAGCATAAATCAAGTAGCTAGTGACTTATTGGGTAACGCAGGTTGCCTGCAGACTTCAGGTGCACATGGCAGCCTCCATCCATGTGCGTGCAAATGGAGTCTGGATCCAACAGGAGATACGCAAATCTCAAAGGCATCAGGAGGCTGTGAGAGGCCTGGATCTCTCCTCCTGGCTCTACTCAGACCAGTACGCTGGAACCTGGGAGATGATGGTTCTTCTGGCTCAGCAATAGTCTGTGCATGCATCCTCCCAGGGCTTCCTTGGTGCCTCTTCTCCAGTGGGAACCCAGGCCAAGGAAGAGCATACCTAAGGGTTTAGCTGTTGACTCCTCAACCCTTCTTCCAGACCATAAACGTCCCACTTAGACTCCACAGAGGGTAAAACAGAGTAGGCATAATGCAGTAGTTTATACGTAATAACAGAAATGTTAAATTTTTTTTTAAATTAATAATATAAGTTGGTTAAAGTTAGGAGGGATGGATGGGACGTCACACTTACTAAGGTTAGCCAGCATTTCTTACTCAGGCTCATCTCCTAACCACATTTAACTTCCTGTTTTCTGGTTGCATATAGCTGTGCCAAGCTTTAGCTGTTGGAATTTAGTTTGGGTGGTGTCTGGTTACCACTGGAGTTTTTGGATGGATGGCAGGGAGGTGGGGAGTTTCAGTCCAAACCCTTTGGTTGATTTTAAAAGACTGGACTCAAAAAAGCTATGTTATTCATTGCATGTTAAGAAAAAGGCCAGCAAAGCTTTGCTGGAGAGGTTCCTCCAAAGATGTGAGCATTGGCTCTGTGTTGCACATCTGTATTATGCCTTCACTATGGGAAAGTCAAAATTTGGGCCATGTTAGGTTTTCAGTATTACTCGAGATTACAATGTGGTCATGCTCAGGAGAGTCTTGGTAGTTTTGCAGGTAAATTTCTTGAAGATGCTGCATTGGCTTAGACCTGTTGTTGGTGCATGGGAAGATCAAGTGCCTGGGACTGATTTTCTGTCCTGGATTTGGTGGGACAGAGGTTTGCAGGTCTTTCCTCTTCATTTGGGATGGCAGAAGAACAAGCTAGAGGAGACTTGGCCCACATGTGTGAATCTGAGGACTGTCCCAGGGGCTTGTTTTGACCTCCCCTGGGAGGGCTCTGCTCCTGCAGGTGGGATTCTGGGCCACAGGAGGCTGATGTGCTGGTGTCCGAGGAAGTCTAGGCTGGCCTTTCTGTTGTCAGGGAGACGCAGGCTGACTGAGACACTGAAGGCCTGTGAGGTCAAGCCCAAGAGATGGTGTAAGCAGATCCCTCCACAGGGACTTGACACAGATATCTGCTGCTGAGCTCCTCCATGGACTCTTTCCAGGGTCTGATCCACCCAGTCTAAGGTAGACCTCTAACAGCGCACAGGCAGTGGTGCCCTGTCTGTCTGTCTCCATCAACTCTAGAGTGACCCTGGCCTGCTAGTTCAGGCAGTTGTCTGTAGATGTCACACCATCTGTGTGTGTGGACACCATGCCTGGTGTCACCTTATAGAAAGGCATCACTGTCCCTGCCAGTCTGCATTGTACAACACGCTCTGCAAGGGAAATGTCGCTACATCAATGATTTTGATAGTTCAGATTTACCCACGTTTAGCTCAAAGACCTCTAACCTGGCTCTTGGTTTGTTGGTGGGGCTGGGGAGGACTGTTGGGGGGGATCCCTTTGTAACACAGGTATCTCCCTCTATGGAACTGGTGAGTGAAATTGGGCATTCAGTAGGTTCATCGTAAAGTTTCGTCTGAAACCTGCAACCACATAGTCCCTTTGCTCTGCTTTAATTGGTCGGGGGGACTTCATAAAGAAAGAAGTCAGAAGCCCTTTCTAAGCTACTCCTGTAGTCAACTGTTGCACTGCCATGGCTGAAAACCAGGGAGGACCAGCACATACAGAGAGAAGGCCGCTTGCCGTGCTCTGCAAAGAATGGACCATGGTGTGGGTCTGGGAAACAGACTGATATGGAGCAGCAGCAGGGTGGCAGGAGATCAGTGGGGTTCTCCTCTCTGGCCCAGGTCTCACTTTCTCTGATCCCTTGTTACAGGCAGGGATCGTGCAGGGATCAGAAGAGCCTGGCTGTGCCTACTGCGTTAGGTGTGGTGATGCTGTGTGTTCTGTGACAGCGGGGGATGCACACAGATGCACGTGGAGAAGAGGTAAAACTGCCAGCGTTGCCTCGAGGAGGGACCTGCCCCATCCCACAGCATGTGCAACCCTTGAGGAGTGTTTCTCCCCAAACCCATCCCGTGCGTGACCTTCAACTCCTCAGCCCACCACGTCTCCCAGCTGTGGGAAGCAGGACACGGAGAGCGGGCCAGATCCTGGGTCCAGGACTGCCTGGGCTGTGAGACTGGAGCAAAGTCAGCCAGGGATTGGGGTTCCCCTCGGGATCTATCCTGCTCAGCCAGCAACTCAGCATGTACTCGTGTGGATCTGCCTGTACTGAGGTCATAGAGAGGTGTTTGGAGTCAAATCCCACCTCTCCCTTGCTCCTTGCCCAGGTGCAGAGGAATCAGCAGCAGGGAGGAGGCTGCAAACGTCTCCACAGGGTGAGGGGTTGTAAGAGCAGAGGCAGACGCAGCCCAGCACCTCTTGTTACCAAGAACTAGTACAGCCCTGCACCGGTCAAGCAATTAGTGATTTTACTGCTAACGAAAGCTGCAGCTCAGCAAGTCAGAGCACCCCAAGCCCATTGCTGACATCTGGGCACCCTCATGACTTCTCAGAGGTGATGTATAATCCCTGGTTTATAGAGAGGGAAGATGAGGCATGGAATTTAAATGATCTACTTGAGATGTGCACAAGGAACAGAATTAGGGGGAGAACCCAAGGGTCCCATCTGCCTGGTGTAATTGGTTAGCCATGCTTCCTGTGCAGGTGAAGACAGATATCCTTGTTTTAAAACAAAATCAGCTGTTATTATGGCTCAGCCTGAGCACCATACAGAAACTTCCAGAAGTTTCCTGTGGCACTTGGTTGCAGCTGCAGGGGTTGCATTGGAGAAAAGCTTGGACAGCACTGTGGAGCTACAGCCCATGGCTAAGGATGATGCTTGTAAGACTTGCAAACTTTGCATCAATGAGCAGGTTTGCCAGTAAGGTGCCTTTTTATCAAAAAGCTACTTGTCTCATATGTGCAACAGAGAGTCCTTCCCTTTTCCTGCAGGGAGAGCGTCCCAGTGTATATTTAATAAGTACACTTTTGCCAGAGTCTTGGCTGGCAACTTATGACACCCTTCAGCAGTACTTGTGTGTTGGGAAAAGAGAAGTGTTACTCTGTCAGGCAAGAAGGTCTGCAGAAATTCGAAGTCAGCAGGGAGAATCACACAGGTTGGCACTTCACAGCTGCTTAGGAGTGTTAAAAAAAAAATTAATCACAACTATCTCCTATTTCCCCTATTTCTTCTGTTTCTGGCAGGCAGGGAATACTTGGGAATATCACCCCAGTAGCCTGCACAGGAAAAGCGACTATGCCACATTCCTGTCCCCAGTCCTGGGTAGCTGTCTGCCATAGCTGGGGCATCCAATGCCCAAACGTGGTATGGGTCCTCTGTGCTTGAGGCTGGGGCTGTGTGGGGGTTATGGGATCAGCAGGAGAAGGTGGGCACACTGGGCTCAGGACCACAATGGCAGATTTTCCTTTCCGGATCAAACTGTGCTGAGTAATAAGCACTAGTCTTTGCAAAAGCAGCAAACCCCAGTATGGTCCTTCCTTGCTTTTACACTGAGGAGTTAAGAGGGGTGGGGGGTATTTTCCTGGGCTCTGCTTCAAACTTCCACCCTTCTGAGCTGCTATCAACAAGCCCATGCCTTTCTGACAGCCCTCACGGGCATTCGTGACGTGGTTTCTTTTCTATTGTAGGTAGTCCCGGGCCTGAGCTGAGCACGGAGAGGGAGCCCATAAGCGCTGGGACAAAAAGCGGAATATGAGCAAGAACAGCCACTTTCCATGGTCTACCGCAGATCGCTGTGAGCTGCATTCCTCGGGCTCGCAGCCGGCCGCACTGGCCTGCGATGATGGGGATGAGCAGCTCAGCCAGCCTGCAGAGCCTGCCAGCGGGAGAGCCAGCCCCTGGGATGATGCTCAGCCCTCTCGAGGAGCGGAGGGGGAGCGTGGGGGCCAGGGGGACGAACATCTGGAAGCAGCAACAGAGCCGGGCGAGAGGCAGGGTGAGCAGGGACCGGGGACAGGCGCTGCCAGCGAGAGCAGCCGTGAGGATGGGCCAGTGCTGGTGAACGGCGTGGACACAGAGCTGGCCGCAGGACGGGAGCAGACGCCGCTGCAGCAGCGGGACGGCAGTGTGCCCAGCCGAAGCAGCACAGATTCGGGGGAGAGGGGCTCCCCCAGCCAGGAGATACCTAGCGAGGCCCTCAGCAAGGAGCGGTGGCACGGTGTCCTGGGATCCTCAGAAGCTCTGAGTGCTGACGAGCCAGAGGATCAGCTCGGGTGAGTGTGAAGCCGTCATAAGGTTGGTTCAGTGCTGGTTTACCTGTGTTGTTCCTCAAGCCTCCTTGGTTTGAGTTACTCTGCTCAGTGTGTAACTCGTCAGTTTAAAAAGCTGCAGCTGCTCTGATGGCTGACTGTGGCTTTTCACTCTTTTTCTCTCTGTGCTTCTTAGACTGCTTTTCTTTGTTACAAATGCAGAAAAGCTGTGATTAGAGCCAATGTCTGCCCACAGAGTTACTAAAGCGAAGGAGAAGCTTTAGGGATATCAAGAGTGCTGGGTGCTGGTTGTGCTCACTTTAAGGGTGTCCTACTTGCAAGTTGGAGATTCAGCTGCAGCACTTACGGCAAAGTTACCTGAGATAGCTTAGGACAAGTACAACAGCTGGGGGATGAAGGACAGCTGGGCTTGTCTGGGAGGTTGGTACACACTCGAAGCCCCTGGCAGCATGGCTTGCTCTGGCAGTCCCTGAGCTAGCAGGTTACAGCTTTGTACCCAAAGGACCACGCCGTTAGTAAGAGAGGGCAGGGCACTGAGATTTGCTCCCTGCTGCACCTATGGCAGGTGTTACCAGTGCCTGGGTAGCACAGGAATAACAATGTGAGACGAGATATGAATGTCATCCTCTTCTCAAGTGCCTGAGACAAACCAGCACATGTGCAATGCCCCTCAGTCTCTGTGTCCTCTGTACTGTCAGCCTGACTTTGTGGAAGAACTGTTCATGCTGGGAGACGCTCACACCTGTGCAGTGTCCACAGCTGATTTTATGCTTCTGCAAGTGCCTGGATCTGCAGGTTGGGGCTTGAGGGGAAATGACCGGTGACTGGGATAAGGTGGGGTGCTTCCCATGCCATTCCTGTGAGAGGAGTACGGGTGCTTCCCTTTGCCACCAGTAATTGTCCAGGGGTCTCTGTTGTAGCCATCCAGGGTTGATGGCTGCTGTGAATCTTACAGCCCTGCCTATGTACCTGTCCTGGCATGGGAGAGATGCTGCAAGCAGGATGGGGCTGGAGAGGTTGTCATAGAGGAGCATGGCCTTCTTATGAGGAGGAGGTGTGAAAGGGACAGGGTGGCCAAGAGGGGCCTGTGAATCACCTCCCAGTTTTAGTCCAGTGCAAGCTTCAGACTGAGCCATTTGTTCAGAGTGCTGTCTGGAGCGTAGGCAGGAGTGTCAGCAGAGCTGGGAAGCCACACAGCGTGTAGGCTGACGACAGGCATCCCTAATTCATTGAGTCTATTGAATAGGCTCCCATATAAAAAGCTGATGGTTTGTTTTACCCAAGGCTTCCAGCAAGAAGGAGCAGGCTGTTGATGTCCAGAGAGCTAGGACAGTCTAACCCTGAGGCAAGTCCCACAAACTCTGTAAGCTATGCAGTCAGGTCTTGTATGTCTGCAAGTCTCTCAGGTTGCAAGGGAGTCACATTTACTTGGTATGCGGCTCCCTGGCAGAGATTGTGAGTTCAAGAGGAAGCTAAGGGTCGTCAGTGGATGCTGCTACTGTCACTGGAAGTGCAATTATTCTAAGGTACTAGGGCATGAATTGGGAGAAGTGGCAGGCTGAGGATTTGGAGATGATGCAGCCTGACTGGGCTCTGCATGCACAGTCCATGATCTTATGCTCTAAATATACTCATTTGGATAGCAAATAAGTCTTTTGGGAAGCTGAATGCATAAGGGACAAGTCGCATACTATTTTCAAAGGCAGAAGGGCAGCTGGAAAACTTCAGGGACACAGCTGAAATCTGGGAAACCACTTATTGCCTAGGGATCAAGTTAGCTCGCTGTGTCTGAGCTCCATAGTACTTTGACCACCTGTCTTTAGGCTAAATGGCAGAAACAAGTGGCTGGGCCAAACACAGCATGGAGCTGGTCTTTCCTGACTGTAGCTGATTGTCTGGCTCTCCTAGATCAATGTGGGTCAGGAGTAACAAAGCTGACAGATGGACTGAGGCACCGGGAAGTCACTGTCATCCTGCATCATCATCTCTGAGTTTCCCCAGTTCTTTCTTTACTCCCCTTCAGTCTGTTGCTGTTTCTGTTATGACCCATTCTGGATATAGGAGAACCTGGGGTTTCTTTGTCTCTGGCCAAATGTTTTACCCATGAGCAGTCAACTATTCATTTCTGGGGAACAAATCACTTGTCATCATCCACATGTTGGTGCTCGTATGATGCATTTTGTCCCTGAATCTTAAAGTACTTTACAAGAAGGCTTTGGGTCTTGTTCTTCCCTCTGAACCAATGGAGAATTAAAAGGGAAAAAGTCATCCAAGGTCATCAACTCCGTGGTGGAGCTGGAGAAAGAAACCATGATTGCTGTGCTGGTTAGTAGGTAGGTTAGTACATCTGTGCAGGAAATAGTTGTTTTAAAAGTCAAGGAAATAAAGCCAAAGCTTTGGTGCTTGCGCTGCAGTTTGCATTAACTGAATCACTTTCCCCCCTTTCTAGTTTACCCCATGGCATCCATTGCCATGCCAATATACCATTTGTCAAAGCCCCATTTTCCTGTCATTGTGGCTATGTTGCTTAGAGGTCTTTCACCTTCTCCGAAGCCCCCAACATTGGCTCTACAGCTCTCAGGGATGTCACAGCTCTGCAGTCAAACTGAGAGCTTCACTAGTGAATTATATTCTGCTTTCAACTCCATGAACTCAAACAAAAATTTCAAAGTTCCCACCTTTGGCTTGTGGACGCACTTAGTACCTGCAGGTTTGGGACTTCTGCCTTTGCCCACACATTTCCTCCCATGGCAACATATAGCCGTTGAGCAATTCAAATTCCATTAAAAAAAAGTTTCAGAAAAACTTTGCAGAAAGCCTGCAGTGCATAGGCAAGAAAGTTCTCATTTCTGTAGTGTCCTTCTCTGACAGGACTCCCCACTCCACCAACACAGTAAACTAGATTGTACTTTATTACAACTAGTTAACTAGTGAGAAGTGAAATGTAAACAACTCAGTGCATAAAAATCCAGTACGGTTCAGCTGCAGTAATAACCAAGTGCAGTGCTTTGCATGCCTTGCCATAAGCAATAAAACGGCATTTCAGACATGACTGGGAAAAGCAGCACAGGCAATTAGATACAGTGTTACTTCAATACACTTAGAAAACCTTGTGATTACAATGCACATAAATATACGGCTCCTTATTTAAGTAAACCAATTGCCTTCCCTGCTGTGTAATAAGTACGCAACACTTCTCTGTGGGGAAGCTATGTCAGGTTCATTCATTCACACAAGCACTGCCTCTCACCTTAGCCTGGGTTTGCTTGAATTAGATGGAGACGATGCTCCTGAGCTGATGTAAGCTGTAGAAAGTCTCTTTTTCCTCCGTCTTCTCTGGACCACACAAGGAGACGTGTGATGTGCCTGACTTGTTGGTACCCACCAACTCATACAGGACCATGGCTCCTGTCCTGATCTCTGCAGTCTGTCCTGCACAGCCTTTGCCTGGGGGACATTTGTAGGGACACAGACTTTCTCACTTTGTTGCCTGCTGTATGGGTTTGGGCTCAAGGGATAAACCAAGGGTTGGAAAATACAAGGTCTGTGGAGTGAACAATTAATGGAAATTATTCTGTTCAGTGTGGTGAGAGAGCAGTAGCTGTCTAGTGTGGGATTATGGCAATGTGGGACCTACTAAAAGTAATATCCAGGAGGTGCAGGGCTTGATGGCTCTTGATGGGCTTGATACCCAGGAGCACCCAGGAGAATACCTACGGGCACAGCTGCAGTGCACAATAGCCCTGGAAACACATGCTGTGCACCAAACCTCACAGGGATGGCCCAGGGAACACTCTCCTGCATGGGTGCTCCCACACAAAAACACAGTGGTGATGGGAGTGAAGCGATGCAGGCCAAAGGACTGTGGGATGGCTCTTTCGGAGGATCTTGGGAAACCACAAAGATCCAGGGTTTTTCCTTGGTGTGGTGAGGACACAGACCCTCTGTAAGAGAGGGGATGTGGAAGTTCACTGGGGATGGGGGCTATTGCAAGAAGTTTGGCAATGGGATGAGTTGCCAAGGCAGGTCCATGATTCCCACCGCTGGGTGTAATTAAGGCCGTAAAGTCCTTCCTGTCACAAGGGGATGAAATTTCTTAAGTTCCTCCTGCTTTGTGGAAGGATGAGATCTTTTTTGTACACAAAGTCGTGGCCAGGCACTGTAATTCACCCTGCAGGGATGGGTGGATTTGTGAAGACAAGCACTCCTGAGGATGAGGGCTCTTTAGGCTGGAGCTGCTGCCATCTGTCTCATTTCTGCTTGTTTCTGGTTTGCTGCATGGCCAACTCTAGTGAACTGGGTTACAGTTTTCTTAAGCCCTGCACTCCTGGAATGAAGGGATTATGTGAGTCTACAGATTTGTGTAAGATTTTACCCATGTGGTTGCACAGCTAGGTTTGAAAACAGCATCTCTGATGGCTCAGACATCAGAGGGGATTTTCAAGGGGTGCAAAAACTTCTTTGTTGGGGCCTGCCAGTTCTTATGAATGCAGGGTAAGCCACACATGGTTGTCTCCATCCTTGCACAGCCGTTCAGATGGGTGTGTCCTGCTCCCTGCTGTGCTGGGATTGCCTGTTCCTGCCACAGCTGATCAGCCTGCTGCCCTGGCATCCAGCATCACAAAGAAGGGAAGATAGCATGGCACAGCCACTTCATGGGACCTTGATCTGCTTGGGTTCCTCAGACTCTTGGAACAGTGAGAAATAAGAAACCTGAGAACACTGATCTGTCCTCCAATGGCTCCCACCCTGGCATGTTAAAAGCAGAAAAATCTACCTTTGTTCAAATCCTTCCCCAAGTGCACTTTTCTTGCAGAGATGGGGGACAAGAAGCCTGGAAGCTGACTTGTGTCCACTCCTCACTGCCACAACGGGGCTACGTGCACCTCTGTCATTGCAGTCTTACGTCCTTACACTGGTTTTCTGTTAGTTGTCCACTGTATCCCCCTCTCATGCTATGGCTATCTTTGCTTGTTGTGGATTCTTGGGGTGAAGAGATCCCTGTTGGCAGACTACCTCCTATCCTGCAGGCTTGGGTCTTTAAACACACTGGCTGTAGCAATCAAGGGTGATAACTTTGAGGACTTCCCTATGTGAAGGGATGACAGGTCCCATTTTACTGCCTGGAATCAGTGCTCATGTATAAATACTGAGTTGTTGCAGCCCATGCTGATGAGGATGTTAGAGGATCACCGGTCCATGTGAGCTCAGGTACCGTGTTGCCCATGAGAACTGGCTGCTCCACAAAAATTATGATGATGGTTCCCAGATGGGTGTGTTATCATCAGTGGTAAGGTGTGCATTCTCTAGCCCTTAGGGCCACTGTGTCCTGAAATGGCCAGCCATCTTCCACCCTGCTTGTGGCATTTTGAAGGGCTAAGGTTTCCAGGAATGGATGACACTATGTCAGTATATCTGGGCCAGTAAATTCAGGGCCTTATTAACCTGCTCTCTGCTCGAGAGGCAGCCTTCCCTCCTTGCTACTTGCTTAGCTGTGCAGCAGCAGTACAGACAAATCCATTCTGCCTTGGGAGAAGGAACTGTGCATGCCAGACCCTGTAACAGTATGAGTAGACCTGGCTTCAGGCCTCCACTGAGTCTTATCCCAAGCACAGCAGTGATGTTCAGCGTCCATCTCCACCATGAAAACAGGGAACCTGTGTCTGTTGGAGAAAATGGGCTGACTGTCTGTGGATCAGGGCATCCATAAGCTGCAAATAGCTGGGAGCTGGAAATATATGGCTGGCTGTGGGGACTGTCACGAGGTGGTTGCTCGGTCGCTTTGCTTTCCCTGTTCTCTGCTGTCTGCTGGTGAAGGTGGGCTACAAGACTATATCTCTCTTTACTTTTGCTATGAGCAATTCCATGGAGTGCAGTGTGTGCCTCAGTTTCCCCACCTAAAAAGACTCAGCTGTTTTGTAAAGTGCATTGAGAAGAGTCCGGACTCCTAGGAGACACTCTCATGGCTCTGCCATGTCTGGCTCACAAGTGCTTTGCTGCCTCCGTGCTAGAGCCACTACCTCCCAACGTCCATTTCCAGTTTTTTTCTGTGCCAGGTGATGAACAAATCAGGGAGCGGTCTGTCACTGGTGCCCAGTAGAAAATATTACTAACAGTAGCTGTGTTTGGGCATGCACAGGTACAGCATCTTGTTCACTGGCACAGGAAGGTTGCCAGGTACATTAGCAACACTGTTTTAGTCACAAATCCAAACCACAGCACCATACGTGCTGCTATGAAGAAAGTTAACTCCGTCACAGACAGAGGAAAAGCAGATTACTGTTCCCCTAGCTTTCACCTGTGTCACAGCATGAAATGTCTAGTTCTGACAAAGCAAACGACAACAGTGTCTGCTGGAAGTGGGGAGGCAGGTTTCACCTGAGAAACCCAGGGTATTTCAGGCAGGTCCTTGCAGCCTGGTCTATTCCAGGAGGGACTGAGCTTTCCCAGCTCTCCAGTGCTCCCAGCACGGCTGATGTTGCTAGACTTGACTCAGATTAATTCTCCCAGTGTGAGTTTGTATCGAGATGTACACCGGAATGAATGCCCCTGCATTCAAAGCCAAACAGAGTCGGGATTGCTGAGAGTCATCCACGCTTACCTTGGAAGCTAGACTTCTAAGTTCATGCATTTCACAGCCTGTAATGCGGTGCGTGAATCCCACAGGCTAGCTGTAAAGCAGCATGGAGTGTCCCCTGCATGAGTGTGCATCCATCACCTTTTACATCCCTCTCAGTGGAGAGAAAACTATTTGTAGGGTGCCTTGCACTTCTAGGGTGTCTCGTCTAAGAAAAAAAAAGCTCAAGTTAGAGCATATGAATTGCTCCCTAAAAGCTTCTGCTTTTTCTCTGCTATAAAAGGGATCAAGGACGTTTGCTGCTGACATCCAAAGTTAGATGAAATGGCCTCGATCTTAAGGATTTTCATGCTTTTGAAGTAACCGTAATTGGAGCACTTGAAGGGAGAGATAACCTGCAGATTAAATCCATGCTGGCAGTGCATCCAGTAGCATGTGACACATGCTGCATGTGCACCTGATGGTGCAAATATCTCCAGTTCAGAGGTTTGGCTTTTTACTGGGGCATGACCAAATTAAGGATTGGCTAGGCCCCTGGGAAGGCTCAACATAAAACTCTGCCTTTTTCAGCTCTAGAAGCTTGTAATAAAATTGGGAACCAAGCAGGTTATACCACAGAAAGGGCCCAAGGGCCTATAATCACAGCATCCATTTTTGTCTTGCCTCTTGCCTCCTAGCTCCAAGTCAAACAGTGCAAGTGATTACGTTGACAGTATTTTCTACATTTCCCCTTTTGGTCCAGGTTTGCTTCTGGAGATGCCAATCTGAGCTGCAGTGAGGATGACAAGGAACATTTTCAATTCAAAGACATCAGGGATGGGTTCAGCTCGACCTTTGAGAAGATTGTTGAGTCTGACCTTATGAAGGGTACATACTACAGCAGCTTGGACTCTTTGGATGTCCTCTCTCTCACAGACGAGACAGACAGCTGTGTCAGTTTTGAGGCCCCACTCACCCCATTGATCCAGCAAAGGGTCAAGGAAAGCCCCGAGCTCTTGGAGCAGAAACTGGTAGCCCAGCAGAGAGAAGCCCTTCACCATATGGCTGCTGATAAGCAAGAGCAGGCAGCAGCAAAGCCAGCGGAGGGGGATTTTGGAAGCCCTCTCAGGCACTCAATTACCAGCAGCAGATCAGAGAACGTGCTGAGCCGGTTGTCCTTGAAGAGTATCCCAAATGGGTTCCATGTGGAAGGATCAGGGGAAGATACCACCAAGATCATTAACTCCATCAGGTAAGACAGGCTGGGAATTCCTTGGGCAAGGGCTCCCAGTCTTGTGGTGTCCCAGTCCAGGAGCAAGGCGCAGAGGACATGATAGACATGGAGCTGCTTTTATTCCCCTTTTCCTTCCTCTCATGAACTGTCATGGCAGAGATGCCAAATACCCACAGGAAAACTTTTCTACCCATAGGTTAGGAGTGCAGCTCGGGACCAAGGTCTCATGGTGTTAAACCAGCCAGTCCCCAACGGGCCTGTGTCTGAGTCCTCCCTGTTCTCAAACCCAGGACCCTAAACTGCAGGTGAGCTGCAGGGTTCTGTAGGAGCCCTGCAAGCCCAAGAAAAGCCAAGGCTCAGCAGTTTGTGTTCACGGTTGCCCTGGAGGGCACCACCATTCATCTGACTGCTCGCAAATCCTGTCTGTTCTTACAGCAGGCAAAGCTAGGGCTCCTCTGGGTAGACCACTGCCTTGTCTGCGTGACGTCTGCAAAAGCCCTTGGCAGGTTGGAGGCAGTCAGGCACACTCCCAAATGTGTGCTGAAGTGCAGGCAAACCTCAAGGTTTCACTTCGGACTGGGTGCCCCTGTAGAGGCCTCCCCAAAGTTTCTTCTGCAGGCAGCGAGGAGATCAGCAGAGATTTCATCCTCTGGACCAGCTCAGACCCAAACCATCATCCCTGGGAGGCAGCAACTCATCTGCAGGGCACTTCCTTGCATGCGGAAGCCTGGTGATGAGCAGGCAGCTCATAGGAGAGCTGGAGTGAGGCCGTATGTCCAGCTACCTGTCAGGCGTTCAGTGAGTCACACTGCCCAAAGATGTGTGAATAGGAGTCATAACTGACCTTGGGCAAGAAAATAAAGGGGTGCCCCCACCTACATGGTGCCAGTGGGGCTGCCTAGCTTGTTGTCTGTGGGAACAGCTGGCCACAACACCAGCAGGCAGCTGGGAGAGGAGCAGCCCACCAGTGACAGCAGGTCTGGTGCCAGTCCCATTGGCATGATCTGTGCAAGTGCAGTTTCTCATCCTCAGCAAATAATCTGAACTGAAAAGCATACCTTCTATCCCTAAGATTTCCTGAATGTCCACAGCTCTGAAAGAGCTTGGTGTCCCTTTCCACACCAGTGGAGAAAGAGGAAGGTTAAAAAGGTGTTGGGGCTGCTTTCTTTGAATGATACACCCTCATTTCTCAGGGAGAAGTCACCTTCTCTTCAATCTTTTTCTACAAATTTGAAATTAAATGGTACTGTTTCATTTGACCTAAAATAAAAGAGGATTTGCCCAATGTCTGTTTCACAAACATATTGTTGTTTTTTCATATTTTTTGGTTAGTTCAAGAAGAAATAAAAATGTGGCATTTTGTACGGGTTTCATCAAGTCACATTGCTACTCCTTGAATTGTTTCTTGTTTCTATATAGCGATGCCAGCTTGAAAGATGCACTATCAGACTCTGACTCCGACATGGGCAGCACAGAGCAGCTTGACCAGGGCAGCACGGACACCTTGGCGAATGGCTGCAGGGCAGATAGTGAGGCTGCCAAGAGGCTGGCCAAGCGTCTCTACAACCTTGAAGGGTTCAAGCGCTGCGATGTGGCACGCCAGCTTGGGAAAAAGTAAGTGGGGCTTTGGGTTGCAGCCAACCCTGCGAGGGGGTTGACTGAGATGGCAGCATTGAGCATGGCCAGCAGAAACACAGCTGTGGTGGGGAGGGTCTGGGGGAGCACTGGTCATGCTAGAAGGACAGGACCAAAGCAGGAAGGGACAAGCCTGCTGTTACAAGGGCTTGCTGGATGGAGTCAGGGCTGTTGGACATCTTTCCAGCTGAAACTGGTCCAAGCCCAATGCCCTTGCAATCTGTATCCTACAAGTTGCCTGCCTGTATTGGGCACTAACTGCCACAAGCTGCAGCCCACCAGAACTAAGAGCTTCCTGCATTTGGTAAGGGCCCAGCAAGAACCTCCCTAAAGCAATCCCCAGGCTGAAAGGTTTGGGATCCAGACCTAGATCTGCACTGGGCTCCCTGCCAGTCCCCAGGTTTTTCATGTCTGCACCCCAAAATCCTGCTGCAGTGCCTCCTGACCCAGTCTGTATAGATGCCATGAAGGGTTTGATGGAGAGCCGGATACACACTGGAGGTCCAAGCACCTCAGCTGGTAGATCTGCCTGGGTAAGGCAGAAAGGAAATAAAAAGTATTTATTCAAAAGTGGGAGAGTTACAGAGATTTCTAAGAGACAGAGTAACAGTAACGAGTGTAGCAGTAACATTATTTTAGGAAGCTGGTGGGTGTGAGGACAGCAATCCCCATCATGCTTCTCCTGGATCAGATATAACCTGTGTTGCTGGGAGTTTTTTATTTCCTTGAAATGTCTCACCCCTGTCTAGATAAGCAGAACACAACTGTCCCTCAGCAAATACCCAACCTTTCAGTGCTAAGGATCATCTGTGACTCCCAGTTTAGTCCTGGGATAGAAGGAGTCCAGAAATTATCTCTTAGAGAGGCTGTTTGTATCACCTAGCAGCATCTGTGTTCTTCTCTTTTGCTGTGCTTCTTGTAGCAGGTGCATTGCTGGCTGCGCTGCCTCAGGTCTAACATCCTTCTCCTTTCTTGTAAATGTGCCATGACAGCTCACTGAGTGGGGGAGGTTTCAAGCAATGGGTCTCTGGGGGTGCATCTGAGTATGTCCCTTTGCTAGTTCCTGCAATCCTCACTCACACTTGCGGTCCTCATACCTTGAAAAGCTGTTTGGTGACCTACATTAGGGATCTGACACAGCATTTAAAAGAAAACCTTTGTTTTGATCAGCTGGGTTTTTGACATCGGAATCATTTCCCAGCACGACTTGAACAGAGTTGCAGGCTCTTGGACCGAGAAGGTGGATTTGCAGAGCAGGAAAGGAAGAAGGATGAGGATAGGTGTGTTTGAAGTTGGTCTTGCTCACTTAAGACAATATAAAACCAACCTACAGTGGTGGGAACAGGGTAAGTTTAAGTGATGCTTTCAAGCCAGCTCTAAGTAAGAGGTGGGCTGGCTAGGAGGATTGTGCAAAAAGTAAAATCTCATTTTAAAGCTTTTTAGCTCATTTTAACCCTTTTTTTCCTTTGTGAACATTGGTAATTTTCTAAAAAAAAACCAAAACCAAACCAAAACAAAATGAAAAACAAACCAAAGCCAAAAACATTCATCGTTGTCAAACAAGTGGAAAAGGCTTGATGAACAAGGAAATGCAGGTTGTCTATCTCCAAATAGTTTATTTCTAGCTGACACAGTTCTGTGAAATTAACCTCAAATCCAGAAATTACCATTGTATCTCTGAAGAGCATGTGATTTGGCAATTGAACTCTCTATGGAAGATTCTTGTTCCTGGAATGATCTGTGGCATTGCCTCATTTCCCTCACTACCCACAGTCACATGTCTCTTGTTGGATGGAGGTTGAACCATCTTAGCTGCCTGACCATGGAGACGATAATGCCAGGCACTTCCCTGCAGGGTTTCCCAGGAGAGAATTGTGCTCACAAAACCATGCAGGCAGCAACAGAGCAGGCAGCAGAGCACAGTTTCAGCATCACAGTGTGCTGAGAACTTGAGGTCTGTCAGAGTCCCATGGGCAGCATGGCATGGACACACAGTGTATTTTCCTCCCCTGGCTATTTGGTGAATTTTACTTAGCCAAACTTCTTATGGACAATCTTTTTTTGACCCAGGTGACTGTGGCACAAAAAGGATTCTGCACTAAACAGGCTTAGCTCTGTAGGACAGTGTGATTCAGCCTGTAAACCAACACATAGCTGTCCACATCCAGCCACGCAGGAATGAAACTGTGAGAAAAAGTCACGGCTCCTGTGTTACCCCCGGGGTGGCTTGTGACCCAGAAGGTCAGTAAGCAACTCTTGGTGCCTGGACCTTCCCAAACCAGACAGAGGGAGGAAGTGTCAAGCTGGGGTGTAAGGTGAGAGGACATCTGTAGAGGCTGCCTGTGTGGCAGGGCCACCAGCCAGAGGATGCCAGACGTGTCACCACGGGAAACGCCTTGCTATTCTTGTGGAGATGTCTCTGTAGTGTCCAAGCTGCATGGTGGAAGTGTCATGCATTCCTCCAGGAGGGGCTGGGACTAGCACAGAGAGAGAGGAGGCCAATTCTTGAATGGGGAAACCAGAGCAAACACCTAAGCCTGCCTTAGTGTAGGGCATGGTCTTGCCCTGGCCACTGTTGGAGTTCTGTGTCCCAGGCATGCCTGGGGCATGTTAACTTGTTCTGGAGTTCCTCAGAGGAGAAAGGTCTCATCAATGTCACTGAGCCCCTGGCTAGACATGGGAGTTGGTTACTTCCTGGGGGCTGGCTGCCTTCAGGTGTCCTGCAACACTGTCTGGTTCTCTTGGTAGAGCTGGCAGTCCCTGCCTGGAGTTTTTCCAAGCAGAAATGGACCAAGTGAGGCACACAGGAAGGTGTGGTGGGCACCCAGGCTGGGGACTGTTGGCACCACAGCAGCTGGCACAGACCACTTGTCCTGGGGGAGTCACAAATTCCCTGCAGACTCCTAGCCTTCAGCAAGACCCAGTGAGCTAAGCGACAGGCAGCAAGGCCTGCCTGCATTCCCAAGCTACCCTGATGGGAGAGCGGGGTGAAGGGGAGCTCCCAGAAGCCTTCATCCTGCCTGACTATAGATTTAGTTAGGAATGTAAATTAGGGTGTAGCTCCTAGTGTAGACCATGGAGATATCTCAAGAGCAATTCATCCCACCCAAGATCTGTGCTGGGCTATAGACATGCCCAGTCTTTTGGTCTTAGGGAGCTTTGGGCAAAACCAGACCTTCAAGCCCAGCTTGAGGTTAAGTGGGGGGAGTCAGGCACTCACTGTTCTCCCCTGTTGATCACTGCAGTGCTGAAGTACTTGGCAGTTGTGGCTGTGTGCCCAGTGCCCAGAGTGCCCAAGCAGGTTCCCAGGAGACCTGTGCCCAAACAGAAGGAATCAGACCTTTTCTTCTGAGAGACTACCAGTGCATGTGGGACCTGACCTGTGGAAGGGAGGGCACTGGCTAGTTCCCAGCACTAGCACAGCCAATGCATGAGGTCTTCTGCAGACTTAGAGCTTAGAAGACCCCGGAGGAGGCCTGGGGCTTGCTTGGTTCTGCTCGCTTTTTGGCACGGGGGTGAAGATGTGGTGACATCGCCTTCCACAAACATATGGTCATTTTCTGCATCTCACATTACCTTACTGTGAAGTTCTAGGACAAGTAGAGTAAGTTTTCCTGGGAAACTGCCAGGAATCTGTCGTACTTCTGAACAGCATCCATGCCAGAAGCTTTACAGCATCTACCTCACAGCAGAAGATGAAACAATGTTGTAGGAAAAGAAAAGAGTTTCGCCTGGAACTTGTCCTGGCATGAAACTGGACGTGCAATGCTTAGCAATATGCTTTTCATTTTGTGAGGAGAAGGAAAAGGAATTGTGTATGACAAAGGCTGAGCATATTGAGATCATCTCCCATTTCTTGCCAGCATTCATTGATTATTCTTATATTTCCTCTACCTAAGCTGTGTAGAGGGACTTAACAGCACCAATTCTGGCTTTTAAGGCAACATGTCTCCAAGCATCCTTCAAAAATGTGGCAGGAGAATAGTTTCTGGAGAAGCATTCAGGGATGAGCAGGGTCAGAAGCTCGGCTGAGCTCTCCTGCTCCATTTCCCAGAGGCATCCATCTGACATGCGAGCAAGGTGCTGTGGTGAGAGGGTGGAATGGGAGCCAACGTGGAGTGGAGAGCAGGAGTATTGCAGTAGGAGGAGATAACCCGTCCAGCAATGGGAGAGGACTAGGTAAGAGAGAAGGTGCCTGATGAGTGCAGGACATCCTTATGGCCTTCTCCTCCTGACTGGTTTGGGAGGAGGCTCTGCCTGGCCAGCAGCACAACAGAGGGGCGCAGTGGGGGCAGGCATTTCTCATTCTCAGGTGTCTAGGGCTGGCAGCTGCAGTGCCAGGCTGTGGGCACATTAGGGCCCTTTGGAGGTCTTCTAGCAGCATTTCAAGCTAGGAGAAAGTCCCCCTGAGTCTGGGATGATGCCTGCAGTGTCTTGCTGGGAGTTGAGCTGGCCAGGAGGTGGCAGTCTGCTGTTCCTCTTGTAGACATTGTCTTCTTCCTGATGAAAGGGCTTACTACTCCCTCTTTAATTACAGTAACGAATTTAGCAAGTTGGTAGCAGAGGAGTATCTCAGCTTCTTTGACTTCACTGGCCTGACCCTTGACAAAGCACTCAGGTGAGCTGATCTCTGACATTCCCACGTAGGGCCTGGGCTGGACAGAGTGGAGCAGCGCGGTGGGTTTCTCCTCCAGGCTTCCCAACACCATGGAGGTGGTCTGTGTGATAGGAGCAGGGATGGGAGGGGAGCTCCAGTTTGTCATTTAATCTTGCTTTGGTGTCACGTTTGGCACAAGGTGCTACCACCAAAAGTGGGCTTCAAGAAGAGGGCCCACAACCTGCTTCCCCATGGCGGAGAGCAACTTTCTCCAGAATCCCATCCTGTACAAAATCAGAGCAAGTGGGAGCAATTTCTTCCCTTGGGACAGACAACCCATCCTGGTGCCATCAAGCCAGAGGTGGGTCAGATCTCAACTGACAGCATGTTTCCTTACACAGCTCAGAGTTGGCTCCATAGACACCCTTTGGGTTGCACCTGCAGGGGCCCAGGGGTGCACAGGCTGGGGGGAGGACAAAGGCCTTCCCCTAGCTGCTCTGAGGACATCCTTTCCATCTCCCTCCTTAGCATGGATACTGCTCAGCAGATTGATCCATGACATCTTTAAGTATCACTTTCTCTTTGCAGGACATTCTTAAAAGCGTTCCCGCTGATGGGAGAGACACAGGAGCGGGAGCGGGTGCTGATTCATTTCTCCCGGCGATACTGCCACTGCAACCCAGAAGAGAGCACGTCCGAAGGTACCACTTTCTTTCCCTGGCTCTAGTGTCCATTGCACACTCACAGTGCATGTGTGTCACAGAGCCTGAACGTAAAACCAACCATCCACAGCTGGACCTGAATAACACTCACTGGGCAGGCAATGCAGCAGCTTCTCCCTTTCTCTGGGATCCTGCTCTGCTGACTATCCTTGCCCTGGGAGGGATCGGGAACACCAGGTGCTGTACAGACACTCCCAGAGAGCCAGGTCAGGATCTGAGTGAGTTTCAGCTCCCAGGGAGCCTTGTCCTCTGAAGTGCATATGAGCTGTGCTGAAGACAAGATCTTCAGCTTTAGCCTGGATCAGTGGCCATGCTTTGCCTGGCACCAGGGGAGGTGGTGAGTGGTTCTCAGGGGGTGAAAATTACTGCAGTCGTGGCTTGCAAAGTGGTTGCTAGCAGTGGGCAAATGAGTGGCTGGTGCTAGCTCAGCCCAAGACCTTGTCAATTGAATGGAAGAAGACATTTCCATAAAGACTGAGGTATGCTGTTGGCATGCCACGCACAGGAGTTTTGTTCCTTGCATCTGCTACTGCAGTAGAAAAAAGGACAGCTGGGTAAAATTCTGGGCTCACTGGAGCTGCAGATTTTATTAGCTACTTTCACTCCCTCCCCATTATTTTTTTAAAGTAGATATAGTTTCTTCTGACATTTTAAAATGCGAAAGATCATCCCTGGTACACGGGTGCACACGCAGACATCCAGACATGAGTATGCCCATGTTTGCACTTACATGTGCCTCTACACACCTGCTTACAGGCATCTTGAAATGCCCCCTTGGGTGGAAATCAGGCTGCTGACCTGCTCTCTGCTGGCACCACAGCAGTGCCAGTTATTCCTCCTCCACCTGCTTCTGCATGCAGTTGTGCTTGAGAGCTCCTGCTTGTCTCCATCTTGCAGGCTTCCCAAAGAGCAGCAGTGCGTAGTGTCACACGAACCCTCCAGTCCCTCTGCCAAGCTAACTGGACACACGCTATTCTCAAAACAGAATGACTTCTTTGCTTTTGTCAGTGGTATCCCAATAAAATATAGGTTTAGATTTAATTTCCCTGTGTTTGTGTGATGTTCTCCCCCACTGATCCAAAAACAACCTTCCCTGGGAAGGATCTTCCACCTGCAGACATTAAGCTGCAGGCTGAATTTTCAGCAGCAGTTCCCAACTGAAATATCCCAAATGCCAAGTTCTGTCTCCTCTTCAACACTTCCCCCTGGAAGTGATCCTTAATTCTATTGCATCTACCTCCCACTCCTACAGACAAGGGCAGTGGGACCCTTTCTCCCCTTCTGGTCCTTAGGTGTCCAACACCCACTGTGAGGGTGGATGCATGCACACACCAACTTGAGCAGAGGCTGAGCTGGAGCACAGGGGATCAGACCTCTGACTCCATCCCACACCCTTCAGCATGAGGGTGTTTGGAAGGCACTGACTATTTAAACAAAACACAAGCTTTGCCATGTGGTAACATGGGTTACAAAGCTGCTGATGGAGTCATGCTGTAGCAACTGTTCAGCAGAGAAATTAGATCCCAGTTCTGAACACTCTGTGAGAAGGTGCCTGCTAATTCAAATACGAATGAAGCCAGAAAGTTAAAATCTTCCATAACTGCATGGCCCTCAGCAGAGATGTCACTGCTGCTGGTAGAACTTGTTTTGAAAATGTTAAACTCATAAACAATATAATAATTTTAAAAATAAGGAAAACTGGATCTGAAACACGTTACTGCTGCTCTCATGACTTATTCATTAACATTTAGGGCCACAGCATTGCCTGTGATGGTGGCAGCACGTTTCACAAGGCTGGGCAGGACCACTTTCTGCAGATCAAACGTCAACTGAATAAGTTCCAAGCAGGACAGTGCTGCGCTTAGTACTGGAATTGAATGGAGCTTGAAAAATATAATTGTAATCCAAGTAATACTTGAAGGTCATGCAATGGAGGGAAGCAAAGTGACTCCTTGAAGTCACATCTTTTGCAGATACTGCAAAAGCATGCACTAGATGCATGGTAATTTGAGAGAGCTATTGCAAGTTCTTTCTTCAGGAAGCAATTCCTTCTTGTTGCATCCAGCCTAAACTTGCAAAGGATGTTCCACCAAGATGAAATTTGAGCCACTGTCTATTATCTAGATTTCTAAAGAACCACTTGTGGCTGTGATGGTCTATTGGCATAGAGGCATGATAGAGTCAAGGCAGTTTTGTCTGGAGATGATCAAGTGGCTGAGAAGGTCTTACAGCCCTCTAAGACATTTCAGGGCATTGATACATGCTGATTCAATAACTTCTCCGCTGATGGAGACATGGCTGTTGCAACACTGAAGGTCACTTCAGCCTTGCGTGACAGGATGCTGCAAATGAAAGTGGCAGAAGCTCTGACTTGCCAACCACTGAGTGGGGTGACTGGTTTTTCTCCCAGAGAGTGGTGTCTTGGACACATTATTAGTGCTTTCCTCTACTGATGAAGCCCAGACATGGAAGAACTATATGGCTTTGTTGTGACACTGTGTAAGCTGAGAGAGAAAGTGAACACAACTGAGCCAAGCAACAGCAAGAGAATAGCAGGTTTTAGGACACCAGCTCCACCTTGGGGCCATGTGGGACATGATTTACCTGACCAAAGTGATACAGTAAAGCCAGGTGAAGATGTCAGCCCAGAATCTCCCACAGAGACTGAAAAATACACATTGGGAAGGCACATTATCCTAAGCCCAAAATTTCTTCTTGTGAAACCGAAGGAAGAACCTTTCTTAGGAAGTGATTCTGTCTTGAAGGGGGATGTCCATCACACTATGTCCCCAGGACTGTCAGCCCTCATAGAGAAATATGTGATGGTCCCATGAGAAACCATTCCTTCCTCAGATCATGGTTCTTCCAGGAAAGGGAGAAGCTCATGTACTCAGTTGCCTTCATCTTGGGTTCATGTGTTTGGTTGCCTTTAGCTGGCAGTGTTTAGAGCTTGACCTTGAGCATAGGGTGCTGAGGGCTTGTCACTCTTCCACACAAATGGTGCCTTTGTTTAGTGGCTGGCTGGGATGGGGACAGGCCACGGCTGGCTCTCCGTGACTGCATATCTATCCCCCACAAGACAAGGCCAGTGCCACCTCCCCAGACAGGCCTGAGGGTAAGTCACAACCTGATCCTAGGGCACCAATTCACAGAGCAGCATGCATGAGGGAAATAAGCCAGGAGCATCATGTCATGTCCAGCTTGGTCTGTGGAGCAGCCCATCAGCGTGAGCATGCCACGTCATACCAAGAGCAGGGCTAAAGACCAAGGCTGCAGTATTTCTGCCTCTACCTTCTTCCTGGTACTCTCTATCCCTTTTGTGAGGTCCTTGCAAGGACCAGTTGATGTGCCAGTGTGTATTTGCATCTCACTGTTGTGAGGGGGGTGCGTGGAGGCTAGTCTCTTGACCTTGAACAGCTTCAAGACATAGCATGGTTTTGAAATAACAGCAAGCCACCAGGCTACCTGGTACAGAAGAGGGTGCTGTGCTGTCTCAAATGGAAGGAAAGCTTCATGTGAGTTTTATTAAGTCAGAGAGCCAAAAATGCTGCACCCATTTGTAGTAATAATGTTTGTTGAACTACTCAAGAACTTGCAGACTGCCTGGGAATGATGGCTAAAGGCCTCAGGACAAACCCCTGAGGTAACTGTGATCAACTAGCTCTGTTTGCTGGGGTGTCTGCCCAATTCAACAATGGCGTTGGCACAAAATGGATATGGAAGGAGACTCAGTGGAAAGTCTGATCTTTAGAAAGCCGTTGGCAAAACTGCTTTAAAGCCAATTCCCTGGTGATCATTTCAAGAAAAGGTAAAGTTTAAAGGGAAAAAAAGCTATTTTTTTTTAAACTATCTTAAGACAGTTGAACGAAATAGGTATTCTTTAAGGTCCCAAGACATAGCAACTAGCCTTGATTTTGCAACGGGTGGGCTGCCAAGACAGCAAACACCAAAACTGCATGGGAAGAGGAGTAATCATAGCCATCTGACTGTGGTGTGTTTCAGATGGGATTCATACGCTCACCTGTGCCCTGATGCTGCTAAACACAGACCTGCATGGCCATGTAAGTAATACTTGGATATGCATCCTTCCTTTTTTTTCCTTCCCAGTATAGAGTTCTGTCCTCTTATGCAGGATGTGTTGCTGGAAAATTGAGATAGGTTGGCAAAAAGAACTTTGCCCAGCTTCAGGGGGAATTCTGGAGGCCAGGTCCAGACCTGGGGACAGTGCTTTTAGTGTCACTCCACACTCAAGCCAAAGCCGTATCCCCCGCTGACATCAGTTATCTTATACAGGCATAGGCAATGCAGCTTTCTTCCCAGGGTCTGTTACATGCATCAGCCCTGTCCCAGGAGCTCTCACGGAGAGGTCTTCACCGCCAGTCTCTCTGGGCTGGCAGAGAGCAGCACCAATTATGCTGCTAGTTCTTGTGGTGCAGATACCTAAGGCTCCCGTCATCCCAGAAACTGCTGCAAGGGAGTCAGTGGTTTCATACAGGTCTAGATTTGATCCTTCCTTCCCAAAACATGACGTAATTCCCAGCTGTTCCTTTTCCCCAAGACACAGCAGACAGCCACTGCGGAGTTTCGTATCAGGGAGACCTCTGGACAAGCAGTAGTGTGAGCAGAGCTCAGTGCCCAAAGGTGCGGTTGGAAAACAGCAGGGGCTGTAAGATCTCTCAACACCTTTTAGAGGTTCTTTCAGGTGGCATAGGTTGGATGTGTTCCTAAAAGGCCAACCAGAGTGTAGAGAGCAGAGCAGAGTGGGAGGAAAAATAACTGCAGTGGGGAGATGGGACTGGGCATAGGGGACAGCACTGGGACTTTGTGTACCCTTGGAGAGCCCGGCCATAGCATACATATGGGAGTACGCATGGCCCCTGCCTCCTGCTCGGTGCCGTGGAAGGCTGTAGGCACCGTTGACCCGGATCTCCTCCCTGCTCTCCAGCCTTATGGCACAGGCATAGAGCATGACTGTGAGACTTTCCAGGGGTAGAGGGGCACCTCAAGTCTCGAGTCACTGAAATACGTTCTTTCATTGCCCCTCTGAGAGCTCAGAGATGGAGCCACAGACTTCCCAGAACTTGTGTGAAGATGGAGGGGGCATGGAGGGGGATGGCTTATTATAGCAACCAGTGCACGTAAGATCTGGACACCCTTTTTCTGCCCCACCAGCCCCTGATTTTCAAGCTGTATCATCAGAGTCCTCTTCTGCCTCCTGCTGGTAACAATTTGTTGTGCATCTGCAGAGGCTTGCCCTCATTTTCTCTTCATTAGCCTGTTAATGAGAGGACAGTAGGCCATAACCTAGCTTTTTTTTTGCGTACTGGCTCCGAATTACCTTTGAAAGGAGCCTTCTTCAGTGGGTGTGGGAAGAAGACACTAAGTGCTCTTCACTTATGATGGCAGAGATGCAAAGGCCACCAGCTTCACCAGTGCCGTCCTGACAGTCCAGCTGGGAGACTGTCCCCATCATTACAGCACAGATACTGCCTTCATGACAGTAGCAAGGTTTGAACACAGCAGTCAGTGAAGGGAATTACTGGTCTTTGCAAGACCATCCTTTCCAGATGTGCACTGTGGCCTGCACCAAGCCAGCTACAGCTGTCATGGCCTCATCCTTTGGGGAACAGGCAGTCTATGTCCAATCATTACACCGGCCACTAGGTCCACTCCCACCCACATGGTTACCAGTAACCTGTCTAGGCAAAGTGTCTCTGCACATGGTGGGATAGCTGTGGGGCTGGCTTCTGGGAGGGTCTCACAAAGCATTCATCCTTCAGCTGAAGTGGTTGGAGACAAGGCAGTATTTTCATCAAAGCATTCCCTGCAACAGCAAAAGCAGCATTGTGGCAGAAGGCAACTATGCAAGTTCAGTTCAAAATAATCTTATTTTGTCTATTTTTTTTAATTAAAAATAATTCAAAATGTAACTCTGGGAAGATAGAAATTATTGAAAAGGCCAAAAAACCCCTAAACTTCCAAAAACTTACCATGTCTATTTTTCATTGACAAGCTGGCTAAGAGGCCTGGTAAGAAGAATTATCTCATGCTATCTAGGCAAAGAAAAAAATAGCTTTCTTTTGACCAGGTGTAGAAATACCTGAGCTTCTCTTTGAAAAATCTTTTCTTTATTTTTCCGCATGAATAACATTAATTTCTTCTTCTCCTTCTCCTCCTTTTTTTTTTTTTTTCTTTTTTTTTTTTTTCCCCTTCCTTCTGCTCCTGGAACCTCTCTTTCTGCTCTTTAACCCTTTTCCAGGTGGTAAGTGCAGTCATTCCAGTGTTTTGCTTTCAAGCACTGACATTTGATTTGTTTTTTCTGTGTTAAAAAAAAGGATTTTTGTTTGTCTGGATTCCTAAGTGGTCGTGCAGTGTCCTTCACTACTTAGCAACCCATTAGCAGCTGATATGCATCACATTAAATTCTCTTTTTGTAAAGAAACCTCCATAAACTGCAGTGTACCTGGGATTCTGTGACTTGATCTCTCACCCCTTTTTGTTAAAGACGCTGTCATGCTATTGCATATCACTTTTTATTTTATTTCCTTTTTTAATATTGTGTGTATGTTTCAGTGTTTTACTGTGCATTGCCATGGAACGGGAAATTCCTTTGGTTAGGAAGGGGTGATTTATGTGTCTCTGTAAAGGGGCAGTTCCCTACAGCAGTGTCTCTAGAATGGGCTAGTTCACCATTCCAGCAGTGACTATCATGTATAGAGTCCAGGCTTAAAATTAACGAGACTGGAATCTTAAAACGATCTTTAAAATATGAGATTTGCACCTGGCCACACTGGAGCTTTGCCTTAGCGCTGTGGATTTTCTGCCACAGGTGCACTCAGACTCTGTTTCCAAACTGTCCAGAAAACTTACTGCCTTTAAAATGAGACACTCCATTTTCATAGAATCACCTGGAGTGGGTGTTTAAAAACCAGCAGTCACCAACAAACATTACAAGTCTTGTAGAATAATCCAGGTTGTTGAAACTCTCTACCTTGCTGTGCTGATGCTGTTTGAACTCCAGGAGATCTTGTGACAAAGTAAGTACTCCTCTGCTCCATCTCTGCCCCTTGGAGACAAAGCTTTGAGATGTCTCCTTTTCAACTGTCAATGTTATCCCTCCTTGTTCAGAACTGCTGGACAGGGACAAGTCAACATCTATGCATTACCAGCACAAATGGTTGCATTTTGGTACTTTAGCAAAGCCCAGCTTCTGGAGTCACATTGTAATGTGACAAGCTTTAGTGTTTGTTCAAAAAGCAGGCCAGCAGCTCTCATAGCCACTGAACAAAGTTTGAAATGGGATCCCTGGCAGCTCCTAACTCCACACGTCCATTGCTATTAGTTTTACAAACTGTGTGATATTCTCCTTAAGCCAAGCTTATGGTTTGGTGTTACCAATACTGCTGGGAGAGCTGAAGAGCTCTGAGATTTGAGCAGCTGCTGGTATCACCTGCAGAGTGACACCAGTCTGGCCACAGCATCTTTGCATGGCCCAGGGGTCATTGGTACCCAAAATTTGTGGGTTTGTTCCTCGCAGTGGGGTGATTTTGTTTCTACAGCCTAGAACACATCCACTACCAGATCCCATGGTCCAGTCAGATCAATGACTGTCATTTCATGCTGAAGCATAAATGTAGTTATTTGAGTTTTTTACTCTGAAGATGAATATCTGGGAGAGGTCAAAAGAGCCTGAGTAAAAGCAAGACCTGCTAAGGGCATGATGCTCATGCTGGAGAGCTCACAGGAGATGTACTCCACTCACCACTTTGCAGCTCAGGTGTTTGTTGCCTGAGGCCTCCATCCCAGAAGCTCAAGTCTTTTAACACCTCACAGAGGGAATACTGGGGAGAACATTCCAGATAGCCATCCTTCATGGCCTCTGACCCCCAGGAACATGCTGCTTCTTCTGGGGCTTTCACATGGCACCTGCTTTTCCCACTGAGCACCCAGCTCCATACTCATCTGCCCAGCCTCCTCATGCTGGGACTTGGCAACAGCCAAGGAATGCCAGGCTACAGCCCAGAGTCTTCTGGAGGTTGACAGAGCCATCCTGGACAGTTCAGGAGATGGTCTGCAATCATCTTGGGTGAGACAACTCAGCCGCAGATGGCTGAGGCCCAGAGGAGGCAAGAACCCAACTGTAAACAGGGGAGTTACACTGGGTTGAAACAATGGGATAGCAGGATCAGCCCTGTCTACCCGTCATCAGATCAATCTCATCCTTCCTAATTTATTCTTGTGCACTCTAACCACCGTTGTGCACTTTGTCTCTGCATCTCTCCATCTCATACACTGTCTGCATCCATCCACCTCTACGCATCCGTTCCCATACTGTCTCTACCCATTTATCTAACTATCCATCCCTTCTCACCTATTTCATCCACTGTTCACTCACTTACTTTCCATCCAAGCACACCATGGTGCTAGCTAATCATCTGACAGTGATTTCTCATACTTTGCTGCATGGCCTGGAGCAAGCAAAGATGGGATGAAGTTCTTCTCTGCCAGGGGGACATATCAGGAATAGTAGCTACATGTGGCTGTGAAGCAGCCTCACTGGCTTATTCTATTGCTGGTAAGTGACTGATGCACCATAAAAAAAGCAAAATGCCCCCATTTGGGTGGCTGACCAGAAATGAAGATACATCTCCCTACCCAGAGGTCCCAGTTCGGCATGGGACGTCAAACCTCTGAACACTGAGCTTTGAGGTGTGCAGATACATTCCCTTGAAAATTATGTCCACGAGTGATGATCTTGCTGAATCAGCAAGATGGTCTACCGCATAAGAAGGTACACCACTGTGCCCTCATAGTGGCCCTTTCCAGAGTTGTTCCTGGGATTCCACATATTTGCTAAATACTAAATACTGTTGAGTGTGCAAAAGCTCAGGCAGTCCCTGGTGCTGGTGCCGTTGATGATGAGGCAGTTGTGATCACAGAACTGTTTCTTTGCAAGTGTTGATCAAGTGAAGCTGCAAAGTTCATGTCCTGGAGTGGTTTTTTGTTTTCTCCGTTCAGCTGGTGTTGATTTGGAGGCACTTGCAGCGCTTTGTATTTGAGT